TTATACACTTAAAATGGGTGCATTTTGTTGCATATAAATTATATGGCAATGAAGTTAATTTTAAAAGTAAAAAAAAAAGAAGGAAACAAAACAAAATTGACTCCAATAACCAAAATTAAGGAAAATCACTCCAATATTTAAAAGAAAAAAAACAGTCTTCAGTGACCCACTTATGAGACTGAAGATTCCTATGCTGCATTGAGTCTCTTTGTATATACATAGCATTGTATAACTTTGAGGTAACATTGAGCATTACACATGACTGTTTACACTGAGCAGACTAGCAGGTATGGTTGTGAACATAAGCGTTTCCAAATGTGATTGCTTTTTTGTTCATTCAAAATAGTTTGCTCTCTCATTTGGTAATACAGTCAGGTGGACATTTTCACAAAAACTTATCAATACCAATTTCAAGTAGTGTTGGAAGAATTGTGTTTTTCCCAAGAAGTGTGTGTTTGTTGTTTAATTGGTAAGAGGTATGTGACTTGTGTGATCATATTTCCCTATTTATGTTGGGTGTTAGGAAGCTTATGGTCAAATCTGTAGCCCACTCCTAGCAAAAATGCGAGCTCATATGACATGTTCCTTGGGTACTAATAACATACCTCTCTTCTTACTTTCTGCTCCTATGATTATTTTCTCTTCCTCCTGATTTCCTTACTTAGTTTTTCAGCAACTTTTACATTTTTTTCAAATACACATTTTAATAGGTTACCTATATGTAAATGAAGTAATACAGATGATGCATATGTAACATTTGAATCTCTCTGAGGTTTTTGTGTGTGTTAACAAATAATTGCTAATCTTCTCCAAGATTTACTGTTTTATTTTTAAGAAAAGGTGGATGGACACAAAGAGACACAAAGCATGTTTAAGAGGAAAAAATAACTCTGTCATGGAACCCCACCCAACTGCTGTATGATCTAATATAGGGTGAGAGATGGCAAGTGTCTGTCATATGTGATTCCGTTGGCCTCGGTTGACATATTTATGCCCCTGTTCTTCATTTTAGAAGATTTTACATAATCCCTAAGATATTCCTTAACACAAAACAAAAAATACTCTGCCTGTATGAAGACATTTAAACTCAAGAAATGCTAAATGCTCCATAAATCTTTTGGATATTTTGAATCAAATGCAGAGTGAACATTTCATTATATTAAAAAGAAAGGAAAACAGGGACTTCCCTGGTAGCACAGTGGTTAAGAATCTGCCTGCCAATGCAGGGGTCCAGGAAGATCCCACATGCCATAGAGCAACTAAGACTGTGCACCACAACTACTAAGCCTGCTCTCTAGAGCCCACGTGCCGCAACTACTGAGCCCATGTGCCACAACTACTGAAGCCCACACACCTAGAGCCAGTGTTCCGCAACAAAAGAAGCCACCGCAATGAGAAGCCCGCTCACCGCAACTAGAGAAAACCGGCGCGCAGCAACAAAGACCTGACACAACCAAAATTAAATAAATAAATATTTTTTAAAAAAGGAAAACAATAAACTGAGGAAAAATATTGTCACGAAATGTAATAGTTAATGGGCTAATAACCATAATAGAAAAGAATTCATACAAATTTATGAGGAAAAAAACAGTTCAATTGATAAATGGACAATGCATATAAATAATTAAAAAAATAAAATACCAAAGTAAACTATACAAAAACCTGCTTATGGTAACTTCAAATGTTGGTGACACTATAAATTAATGTAATGTTGTCAAGACAATATAGTAATATATACAAGGAACCTAAACAAATGTTCATACTTTTGACATGCTTAACATCATCCTGAGAATTTATCTGCAGGAAATAATTTAAAAGAAAGGAACAAAACTATATGTACCAGTTTATTAATCATATGTCACTACAATATTAAAAATTGAAATGATCTAGACATCCAATAACAGAACAACTTAGTAACTTATGATATATTATGCAATCAATTATTATAAGAACTGGGAAATTGTAACTAAAAATCAGAATAAAATTTCATTTACTGTAATTAATTATTTAAATTCTTATGTATTCAAACAAAGAGTATAAGGGAACATGGAAAAACAGACATTATTGATAGGTCAGGGAATTACGGATTTTTCTTTCTTGAAAAAGATAATTTATAAATATCTTCTAAAATTGCCATAACACGGCTAGTACAATGTTTTAAAAATGTGACCAGGAAGCCTTTTCCTCTCTTAGTAACTGGCCCCTCCCCCTACAGCCCCATGTTTCCCACCCCACCCCCGGGGATGGAACCAATCCTGGTGGCTCTGTCTTGCACCTCATCTAGGGAGCCAGGTACTGAAGATCCCAGGGTAACATTAAAGAGGTTCCACAGGGCTAGAGAGCTCCAGTGGTTGACAGGCTGGTATGATCCAGTCGGCACTTTTAGCCCAGGTTTCCCAAGCATTGGCAAAGAATGCCAAGCTCTTCTGAATGAGGCAATGACAAACTGATAGCAATGAGCTTGAGAATGATCTCCCTTTGTTGGTAACATAAAAAAAGAGGCAACATGAACTTCAAAATGGAAAGGGTAAGAGAAAAAGCAATCCAGACTCTGACAATTAAGCTCTGAACTGTTAAGACCCAGGAAAGGAAACCCAAAGGTTAGGATGGTTGTTCCCTGAAGAAACGACATGTTCTACCACAACCGAAAAGGATATAGGGGTACAGTTATCACACACAATATATCAGAAACAGGAAACGTTGGCCCCATGTAATATCATGAAAACCAGTTCTGCAGTACTCTGAGTCTTCCTTTCCTGAAATTTTCTTTTTAAGTAAAATCATGCTTCAGCTCCTAGAGTCCCTGTCCTTGCTCCTCAACTTCAAAGGCACCAAAAAATTTCTTGCTTTCCTTACCCACCCCATTCAAACCCTGCTCAGACAAGGATCTAACAGGCTTATTCAGAGGCAGGGAACTGATTGATAAGCCTGCAAGCAGTTGTTGTCCCATGAGGCACTTGTATTTTGTCAGGAGATATAGTGGAAACGCCTCCACGTTTTGCTGCCAGCATCCCATCCTTGGTGTAACTGTCCACTCTCCACTCCAGGATATCCTATCAAACAGGTCATCCCCTATCCCTCCACTTCACAGTGAGTATGTGACTCAGGCTGGATCAATATTCCCTGGACACAGTGCCTGTGGGCACATGACTCATCAAGGTGTACCAGTTCTTTGGTCCTTTCTTCTCGCTGCCCCTGCTTTGCTCTGTATCAGAAGGGACTGAGCCCCACAGGTTCCTGGCTCAACTGGCTTCTGGCTGGCTGCGGCCCATGGGAGACACTGATGGGAAGTTGCAGGGCAGGAGGAAGGGGATGCCAGCGGCCAGTGTCCGACCATGAAAACCCAATATGAGGATGAAGCCAAACACAGAAGGACAAAGAGCCAGGAAACAGGGAGAGAAAAAGAGAACTGACATATTCTTTGAACTCATTTCATTTGAACTCTAGACCTAAAGTTAGTGTTATCATATATTTTGTGTCCCAAACAAGGACACTTGAGAGTAAAAGGGGCTGTTGGTAATACTTGAATCAGGACAACAGGCACAAATTGGGACCGGCTCAGGCAAACCAGAACGTGTTCACCCTACCTAAAACCAACTCATCCCTTGCACTTTACAATGAATTGAACCATTAAACTCTCTGACTCTTAACCTAATCTGACTTGGATCTCTATCACTAAACTAAAAGATTCCAGACCAGTGCATGAGGTAAAGGCTTAAATCAAGAGAATTATTTCCAAGAGGTAGGATTTCAGGGTTGGCAGGGGAATAGCAATGTCCACCTGACTTAGCTTCCACAGTATGTGTGTGGAGCTTGTACATTTATGGTAGAGCCATTCCAGGAACATTATGTGAAATTTTGGTTGCTATACCCCCCAAAGTGCTGAAAAAAAGTACAAAGAAAACTAAAACCACGAAGGGAACACAAATATTTCACCCTCAGGCTAAATGTGTCTCTTTGGTGATTTTTTTTTCACATTTAAAGTGGCCTTTACTTAAGGTTTATTTTAATCTGAATATAAATTCCAGGACATAAAGTAAGTCAACCACATCTTGTAATTGTCCCAAAGTCAAGTCCCTATCTAGGGATGGCACTATAACACCACTAAAAACACTAACCTCTGAGAATTGCTTTACTTCTATATTCTCTTCCTTTTACTTTTTTCCATTATCCTGTAAGGTCTCAATTATACTACAGATGAAATATGCTCTTGGCTCGCCTAGAAATCTAACAGTCATTTACAGCCATTTCTATATAAAAAAACACATGTTCTTTAGAGCGTGGTAAGAAGAGTATGCCACAGCTCACATGACATTTGTTAGTCCCTTAGTTCAGTGCACTCACAGCAGCTGCCTAGTTTATGACAAAACAGAACACAGCAATTCAAAGACTATCTCCTAAGTCCAGTGGGAGTGCTCCCCAAATCAGTGGAGGTCATTTTTTATTTAGGAAGCCATTAATAATTTAAGTGTTTGAAACTCCATGAGCGGCTTGATCTTTTAAAAGCCATAAGGGGTGATTGTGGCTAACTTTTCATTTTTTGAGCCTCACTGTCATTTCATCAATAAAAGGGTAAATATAGCAAGAACCGGAAGGAAATATTCAGAGGCTTTAGCAACGAGCTAATTCTTCTATGTCTCACTTCCCATTTCTCATGGGGTCAATTCCTCTGGTCATAAAATATGCTTTTTTAACAGGAAAAAAAAATACTTTCCAGAGGTTAAATTGGTGCAAAATTCTTAATTGGAAATAAGAGTATAAGCACATACAAATTTAAAATATTCACAGATTAAAAGTATGATTCAGGGGCTTCCCTAGTGGCGCAGTCGTTGAGAGTCCGCCTGCCGATGCAGGGGACACGGGTTCGTGCCCCAGTCCGGGAAGATCCCACATGCCGCGCAGCGGCTGGGCCCGTGAGCCATGGATGCTGAGCCTGAGCGTCCGGAGCCTGTCCTCCGCAACGGGAGAGGCCACAACAGTGAGAGGCCCGCATACTGCAAAAAAAAAAAAAAAAGTATGATACATACAAGCTACTCCCTTCAGCGTTCACCAAGAGTCCTTTTGTTCTGGAGGGTAAATTTTTCTCCTCATGTCCTTTCTAGTAAACAGTAAAAGAATTTTTTAGGTTCTATATTTTTATCAAACTTTGTCACGTAGACTTTATGATGTACGGAGCAATGATTATCTTGAAAGCTGAGTGGCATTCTTCACTTCATTGGAGTAAGAATCTATTGAATAACAGAAAAACTACCAAATTCACTATCCCTGATGATAATAAACAACAGGTTTTACCTGATTCTTAACCTTAAGCAAAATATACTGAGGGAGACTTTGAGAAGACTGGGTAATAAAGGAAGGAAATAGAAAAAGTGAAACACATGAGTTGAATAAAAAGAGGACCACAAAAGGTAACAGTTTTCCTGTCTAGATGCTTGGGTTTTCTTGGTCACTTTCAGACGATGCCATTTCCTTGGTAAGTATAGATGGCTCCAGCAGCCAAGAGTGTTCATTTAGGGCTAGTAATGACCTGAGCATGTTATACATCCTTACATACAGCCTCAGTGGGGTCACTGATGGCAGCACTTTCACCCTCCCAGCAGTTAACGACAATGATTTCAACACTTCGGAAGCTTTACTCTGGAAGATTTTTGTTCTGACAGTGTGGAGGATAAAAATTTGCAATCCCTGGCAGGCAGAATAAAAGTTTAATATTAGATAAGTCTTGAGATACAGAATAAGGGAAGAAATTGTATTTCACCCTGCCACCCAACCTTCTTCATGTACAGGAACCTGAGTTTACCAGTCAGCAGCTGCTGTGTACTTTTTTGTCTAAGAGGGTTAGGGCAATATTCTTCTCATATCTGAAGTGCTATACGTAAGTAGTAGAGTTAAGAGACCTGAATTCAGGTCCCCATTTGCCACATGTTGGCTGTGCAACTGGGAGGCTTTTTTTCCTCCTGACACCAACCAATTCTGACACCAACTGGGTGTCCTACAATTTAATTCAATTCTGACACTAACTACTCAGAGTTCGTGTCAGACCCTACAGGTGAAGGGTTCAGTCCCACAAGACTGCCCTCACTAGTGGTGCCAGTAACAGGTATTAGGAGTATTAGGTCCCCAGGCTATCCACACTTCTGTCCAACGTGCCTATTGCCTCCCCACTTCAGGTTTGATAATTTGCTGAAAAGACTCACAGAACTCACTCAGGAAAGAGTTTTACTTACTATTACTTGTTTATTATAAAGGGTACAACTCAGGAACAGCCAAACAGAAGAGATTACAGTGCAAGAGCATGGAGCTTCCATGCCCTCTCTGAGTGTGTTACCCTCCCAGCACTTTAATCTGTTCACCAACATGCAAGCTCTCCAAACCCCTTCTTTTAGGGGTTTTTATAAAGGTTTCATTACATAGTTGTGATTGATTAAATCATTAGCTGTTGGCAAATGACTCAATATCCAACCCCTCTCCCACTCCTGGAGATTGTGGAGTGGGCTAGAAGTTCCAAGCTTCTAATCAAGCCTTGGTCTTTCTGGTGACCAACCAGCCTCCATACTGAAGCAATCTGGGGGCCTCAGCGACTGGTCATCTTATCAGCATGCAAAAAACACTCATCACTCCGGGGAGTCCAAGGATCAAAGGAACTGTGTGCCAGGAACTGAGGACAAAGACCAAATATTAATTTTTTAGTATACCACAGTAACTTTGCTCTTTTTCTGATGTCTATGATCTTTGATTTCCTAATGGGGCAGATTGACTATGGGTTACCTAATTCTTCTTACAGTTCCAACATTCTATGATTCTACATTTTTGGAGTTTTGGTAAAATAACTAGAAGTTTGGTATATTTAAGGACAAAAAAAATTTTTAAGCACTTCTACTCATTGCTTTTCTGTACGTTACATATGAAGACCAGATGTGCACAAGTAATTAACCCACAAAAGACTGAACACTATTTTCTATACATTTTTTAAATGTATAGAACCACTTATTGCAGTCCTATTAATGCCAGACACTTGCTTTTCCTTCAATATTCATCATTTAATCCTTCTCATTTAGTCCTAACTTCAACGCTATAAAATAAGCTTCATTACCCCATGTTACAGATAAGGAAACTATAGCTCAGACAAATTAAGTAAGTTGCCTAAAATTATCCAACCAGTAATCAGAGTCTGGAATTAAAATGTATGTTTGGCTCCAAAACTCCTCTATCCAATACACTACTCTGTCTCTTGCTTGTAACTGTAATAGAAAGATCATGTAAAGTGTATTACAGCATCTAAAAAACCCTGGTAATTCCTCATTAATATCCTTTGTGGAAAAACAGATTGAATAATATCTGCTGTTGAGTTGAGAATATTGTGCCAATCTTCATTTCTTGATTTGACACTGTTATACAAATCTTATTGGGAAAAGCTGGTCAAAGAGTACATGGGAACTCTTTACTATCTTTGCAACTTCTTGTGTAAGACTATTTCAAAATGAAAAAGTTATTTTTAAAAAAATCCATGGATGTCTCCCAGATTGGCATCTATTAGGCTCCAAGCCTTAAAAGGATTATTTCTAGAATCATATCCTATGAATACCGTTACAGACTTCTGGTTCTACGGTTCGATAACTCTGCGAGTTTGACTAATAAAATCAATACATATTGGCAAGGGATAGACTAGTTCTTTGGCCAAAAGCAGGAAGATTAACTTCATTGGGGTATCTACTCCCCTGAAGAAGGCCTTGACGACATAAGGAAGTTTTCAATGGGACATGGGTTTCAGGAGGACAAAAGTGGCTACTGGCCATCCTGATTGTTCAAGGGAGAGAAATTTGTTTTGGAGACATGAAAAATCTGGTCCCTAGAGAAGCATTCTCTTTGTGGAGTACACTAATTCACCTGGATTTTCCAGACTTTAAACTCTAAGGTAAAGATAAGACTGTAGAGAATTTCTGGTTGTACAATAATTAGGAAAAAACCTAGACCATGGAGAATCCATAAAGCTACCATCCTGAGGGACTCTGTCTGAATGGACTCCCAATATTTCCGTGCTCCCTAAAATCCCAAAGATGTTATCTGAAAAGACAAAACCTATGGGTCAAACTAATTCTCACTAGCACAAAGATCAAACTATACCTTTTAAGTAGTATCTGTAGCACTTAGTAAATGTTTATTAGAATTATAGATTATTCTAAAACTCGAAGGAGCCTTCCAGGTGAACTAAGCTAGTTGTTCCTATTCTTTAGTATACATAACAATCACCTGAAGATTCCTAGCTCTTAGCCCACAGGTTCTGACTGAGTTGGTAAGGGGTGAGGCCCAGGAATCAGCATTTTAACACATTATGTAAATTCTGATGTAGGCAATATTCAAGCTCACTTTGTAAAGCACTGTGTTAATGTTAACAGCCCCCCTTCATTTTATATTTTACATGCCTCACTCAGAAAGGATGTGTGACTTTCCTAAAATCATATGAATAATTAATTGTAGAGCTGGAAGACAGCTTAAATCTCCTGCCTTTTAGTCCAGCACTCTTGCCACATGGCCACCTTCAATTTTGCCACAAAGTATTAACATTTTGTAACAAGCCTCTATTTTGTAATATGCCTCTCCTGTGCATGCAGGAGAGAATATCCTTGCCTAGACCTTCTCTTAGATACTTTTCTAAATTACTGGTCATTCTAGGTGACAAATCCATGACTCAGCTGGCAATCCCAGACTAAGCTTACACTACTTATTGCCCTTCTGGGGAGTTTCCATTGGGTGTTGCAAACAGTAAAGGTCTGCCTTATATCCATTCAAATTTGGTGGCAGGCAGACATCTATTGTTTAATGGAGTTATTCTCAAAAAGCACTGGAGAGGGCTGCCTGAGTTAGAGGGTGAGATCCTACACACATTAAACCTGGTGGTAGCAATTCAGATAGTCAAGCAGCTCCCCACACTGCACTCCACAGGCTCTCCATCATTGTGGTCAAGCCAAAATGACTTAATGCCCTCCCCAATGATTTCCGTTTTGTATCAGACTTCCCTCCTCAATGATACTTGACCAGAGCCAGAAACAACCAACACTGAGACAATCATCAAATGCTATGGTTTTTTCACAAAATATTAGAGAAGTATAGCCCAACCCAATATCAAACTAGATGTTATCTACTGTGAAAGATACACACAAGTATGTTTCTTACACTAGAGAACTGATAATCTAGTTGAGGAGATGAGACTTGTACCCATAAAAAGTTAATTTTTGAGTACAAGGAAAAAAGGGACAAATGAACTTACAAAACTACAATAATGCTATTGTACTTGATAACAAATTTATTTATTTAATTCATAGTTGAATTAATAAATCTAGAATTAAAACCCATCATTTTAGGGACTTCCCTGGCAGTCTGGTGGTTAAGGCTGTGGTTCCAGTGCAGGGGGTGAGGGTTCGATCCCTGGTCTGGGAACAAGATCTCACATTCCACATAGTAAGCCCAATAAGTAAATAAATAAATACCTTCATTTTAAGGGATTAAAGGCTATAAGTGAATAATCTATGTGGATTGTACCAATGTCACTTTCCTGGGTTTTATTTATTTATTTTTGTAGGAAAATGTCTTTCTTTTATTTTTATTTATTTACTTTTTTTGCTGTTATAATTTTTTAATAGATCTATTATAGTTATATAAGGTGTTATCACTGGAAGAGCTGGGTGAAGTCTACATAGGAACTCTCTGTACTTTTTTGTTTTCTTTTTTGCGGTACGTGGGCCCTCTCACTGTTGTGGCCTCTCCCGTTGCGGAGCAACAGGCTCCGGACGCACAGGCTCAGCGGCCATGGCTCACGGGCCCAGCCGCTCCGCGGCATGTGGGATCTTCCCGGACCGGGGCACGAACCCACGTCCCCTGCATCGGCAGGCGGACTCTCAACCAGTGCGCCACCAGGGAAGCCCTCTGTACTATTTTTATAACTTCTTATGAGTTCAAAATTATTTCAAAAAATATTCTTATGGGTGATATAAGAGTGGGAAGAACCAAAAAAAAAAAATTCTGACCTTTCTCAGCCTTTTATCCACAACATAAAATCTCATTAAGTTTATAGAATTTCAATGAAAAAAAGATTATTGCCGAGAATTAAATGCCAAGCTAATCTAAGGTTCATGTGCCATGTTACCTAAAGAAAAATTATCAGCTAGGAAAGTCCTCATTAATATTTACTAACTATCTTTTAAACAATTACTCCAAAATATGCTATTATTAATGAGAAATTCATTAAAATGAAGAAGTCAAAATAACATAACAATCTAATAAAGAAGACTGGCAAAAGGCATTGAAACTATTTAAGTATAAGAAAATGCAGTTAGTACAATTATCAAACAAAATCCAACTATTATAAATATTTCTTGAAAGAAAATGTAGACAGTATAATTTAACAACAATAATTGTATGATAAATTTTACCAATAAAACCAGGAGACAAGAAGCAGCTAAACTGTGTTCATTTTACTATCTTTAAAAGGGAAGAATCCTATATATAAAATAGATAACTAATAAGGACCTACTGTATAGCACAGGGAACTCTACTCAATATTCTGTAATAACCTATATGTAAAGAATCTAAAAAAGAATGAATATATGTATATGTATAAATGATTCACTTTGCTGTACACCTGAAACGAACACAATGTTGTAAATCAACTATACTCCAACTTAAAA